GAGGCGGCGGAGGGCGGGGCGGCGCCCGCGGGAACCCGTCTGCGTCGCAGGCGCGGGCCTGAGAGCGCGCGCTCAGGCAAAATCTTTGAATTTTTTGTGACCAGATTAATTTTTTTATTTTACGGAAAAAGGGTAAAACAAAATTTTATAACAAAATAATAGGAGAATAACAATAGTTAATACATTACATGTTATCTTTAAAGTAGTTGCCCAGGGTACAAGATATGGGCGTTAGAATTTCTCCGGCCGACATTAGCACAAACCTTCCTTGTCAAGGAACTAAGAGACACTAATGCCATAACTGCCTTGCGCCCCCTCCCCACCCCCGTTTTCTCTATTGTCCTTTCCTCTTTCACCCATCCTAATTCTTTTTCCTTTTGAACAACTTCTTCCCATTTCACAATAGCTGTTGTGCATTTTAGACCTTACTCTTTCAGTTTCTCACACCCTGGAGACAATGTGCTTACACATGTGAGTCTGATTTATTTCATTTATGAGTGTGGTCTCCAGTTGCACGTTTACCTGTAAAGGTCTCCAGTTTATCCTTCTTTATGGTTGAGTAGTATTCCATTGTGTAAAAAGACATCTTTTTTACCCATTCCTTCGTTGATGGGTATTTGGGTTTCCAACATTTAGGCATTACAAATTATGTTGCTATAAACATGGGTGCACATATATCGCTTTGGTATGATGTTTTTAATTGTGGGAAGATACCTAGAAGGGGAATAGCTAGGTGCAATGGGACCTCTAATCCTAGTTTTTTGAGGAATGTCCACACTGATTTCCACAGTGCTTGCACCAGTCTGCACTCCCACCAGCAGTGGAGAAGGGTTCCTTTTTCCCCACAGCCCCTCCAGCATTTGTCATTGGTTGATTTCTTGATAGTAGCCGTTCCTGGGGTGAGATGGAATCTCAGTGTAGTTTTAATTTGCATCTCTAGAATAACCAGTGATGTTGAACGTTTTTTCATATATTTATTTGCCATTTGTATTTCTTCATCTGAGAAGTGTGTATTCATCTCAGATGCCCATTTTTTGATTGAGTCTTTGAATTTGGGGGTCTGATTTTTTTTAATTTGTTAAATGTTCTAGATAGAAGTCCTTTGTCTCAGGGACAAATGGCTAAAAATTTTTCTCACCCTGTGGGTTGTCTTTTGACTCTTTTGGTGATTTCTTTTGCTGTGCAAAAGCTTTTTAATAAGATGAGATCCCAGTTGTTGATTCTTTGAAGTATTTCTCCTGAAGTCTGGGTTTTGTTCATGAACTCTCTACCTACCCTTGTCTTCAAGATTTCTACCTACTTTCTCTTCTAGTAAATTTAGTGTTTCTGTTTTAATATGCAGATCTTTGATCCATTTTGACTTTAGTGCATGGTGATAGACGTGTCTAGTTTTAGTCTTTGGCATTTAGAGAGCCAATTTTTCCAGCACTATTTATTAAAGAGATTATTTGTCAATAAGGTGGCTGAGTGTGTTTGTACTTGTGTCTGCATCCTCTAATCTGTTCCACTAGTCCTCAGGTCTGTTCTTTTTCATTACCATGCTGTTTTTATCACAGTAGCTTTGCAGTATAACTTCAAGTTGGGGATTGTGATGTCCCCTGCCTTGCCTTTGTTGTCCAGAATGGCCTTTGCTATTCTAGGTCTCTTCTGGTTCTAAAATCAGAAATAACACAAGGGTGTCCACTATCACCACTTCTACTCAGTAGTTCTAGAAATATTAGCCAGAGCAATTAGGTAAGAGAAACAAGTAAAAGAAATATGGATAGGAAGGGAAGAATTTAAATTACCACTATTCTCAGATGAAATGATACTCTACGTGAAAGACCCCAAAAGCTCCACCAAAAGACTTCTAGATTTAATAACCAAATTCAGTAGCATAGCTGTATACAAAGTCTACACAATAATCAATAGCATTCGTAAACACAAACAACAAACTCACTAAGAGAGAAATTAGGGAAACCACACCCTTTACAATAGCATTCAAAAATAAATACTTAGGAATCAATCTAAAAGTTCTATATATTGAAAATAACAGTACTCTGAAAAAGGAGATTGAAAAGAATATCAGAAAATACAAAGATATCCTTTGCTCATGGACAGGAAGAACCAACATAGTGGAAATGGCCATACTCCCAAAATTGTTACACAGATTTAATGCAGCCCTGATCAAAATACCATTAGCATACCTCACAGAACTAAAGAAAATATTCCTGGATTTATTTTTTAATTAATTTTATTGGTACGCTTTTGATATACATAATGATCACATTCACTGTAGGGAATTTGTACCTGTATATGATATTGATACAAGGATGATAATAAATGGTGCTGGAGAAAATGCGAAAGACTAAACTTGACACATGTCTGTCACCATGCACTAAAGTCAAAACGGATCAAAGATCTGAATATTAAAACAGAAACACTAAATTTACTGGAAGAGAAAGTACGTCGAAATCTTGAAGACAGGGGTAGGTAGAGAGTTCATTTATTATAGGACCCCTAAGTAATCTAAATAACATAAGGGAAATATTGTACCTCGACCTGTTAAATGTCTGATACACCAAGTTTGTGTTTGCCCAAATGACAATGAATTCTAAGGAGGAATGGAAGTTAAGAGCAAGAAATATTCATTGAAGGAAAGAAAGCTCTGTCTAGAAGAGAAAGAAGGGACCCAGAAAGTGGGTTGCCACAGATGCAACTTCTCAGGGGAAGCTTTATGGAGTAAAATCACGAAGTGGGTATGAGGTGGGACAAAAAGTGGCCAACTAATACTACAAGTGTAGTTGCTTAGGTAATACTGACCACTGGGGAAGCAAGTCACTTAGCAAATGTGCATGGAAATAACAAGGACCTTGCTTGGAAGCAGTGGGTCAGGGACTCTTCCTGGCCCCCACCCAGGTGATTGATGCCTATTTAGAATATCAATCATTATAGTTTATCCCTAGGGAAGTATGTAGGTGTAGTCATTTTATCTTTTGTCTTGAGGTCTGGCCTTTAGGGAATGTGCCTCCACCACAGTCCTTTGACTGCCTTTGATACTTCTAACTTAGCTGTCTATTGTAATATATCTTGATTCTCATTTTTATCCCCATTTCCCTCCTCTCTCTTGAACCTTCCTTCCCCTCCGTATTTACAAAACCTTGGTTTCCATTTTCTCTTTCTATTCTTTTTTCTCTTCCCTTCCTTTCTCTTCCCACCCCCCCTCCCTTGTTCCCCTTCTCATTTGAACGTGTTCGTCCTACTTCCCATTATCAATGTCTATCATCCATCTTGGTCCTTATTTGCCCTTTTGGGCAATGTAATATTTAAACATGTATGTCCGATTTATTTCACTTAAAAGTATGGACTTAAGGTGCATCCATTTACCTAAAAATGTCTCACATTTATTATTTTTATGGCAGAGTAGTATTGTAATGTATATTAAAATTATGTATTCATCTGATGAGCATCTGAGCTGTTTCCAAGATTTAGCTATTACAACTTGTGCTGCTATAAACATAGGTGTGCATATATTGCAGTGATATGATGCTTTTAACTCTTTAGGAAAGATACCAAGAAGGGGAATAACTGAGTCAAATGAAATCTCTAGTTTCCCTACTAGGAACTTAGTCCATGCTGAGGACTATTCATACTGATTTCCATATTGGTTACACCAGTTTACACTCCCATCAACAATGGAAAAGGGTTCATTTTCCCTCACAGCCCTGCCAGCATTTGTTATTGGTTGATGTGATATTGATTGAATGGTAACAGAAGATAAAGAAAGGACTCCAGTTAGAGGAGTAGCTGGAAGGGGCGCACTCTAATAGAGAGGATCACAAAGACCCACCAACAAATGCGGGATGTGCGTGATGTGTGAAGAGACAGAGTTCCTGTCTGGCACAGGAGGGAAAAGCAGCTGAGGAGGCCTGGGCTGAGCCATTGACACCACTTTCCTCTGAGGAGTTCTGTTCCCAGCAGCTCCATAAAGAGATAAGTGCAGTGCAGGGCAGGCCCACTGTCAGGGGTGCCCCGACCTGAAGTAGATAGAAAAAGCACTTCGTAGTCGTGAGAGGAAGGTGGCCCCACACAAAGTATAGTGGTGTCCAGTGTCTGGATGAAGGAGGTGGCTTAATTCCAAGATGGATGGCATGCTGTTTCCAGAATCAAACCAGATATTAATTTCTGTGCCCCAAGTATAGTTGAGGGCTTTATAGATAGACAACATCCTTGGTTTGATCCAGGGCAGAATTTGTCCACTTATCTCAGAGATGACA